ATGTTGGGATGAGGTGGGAAACAAAATATGTTAGGAAGAGATGAGAGACATTAATGTTGGGAAGAATTGGAAGACACTTAAGTTGGGATGATGTGGAAGACATTAATGATAGGAAGAGCTTGAGGATACTGGTTTGGGAAGAGGCGGGAAGACGTGAGAGTAATTAATGTTGGGAGGCAGTGGGAGACACTTAAACGTTGGGAAGATGTGGAAGACACTAATGTTGGGAAGAGCTTGAGGATACTGATGTTGGGAAGAGGTGGGAAGAAGTGAGAGACATTAATGTTGGGAATCATAATTGTGTCGTGGGAAGAGGTAGGGGACATAAATGATAAAAAACAAGATGTGTTTGTGAAACACTATGCGCCAGGCGGCAACAGATTTAAAAAAACATTTTTAGCTTATAGGTCACAGTTAATGTCACAAATTCATTGATCTTGATGTCATTTGAAAGAACTTGATTACTAAGTCACAAACAACATTTTAGCGGTCTAATTGTTTTGAAATCGAAAGGTACTGTAGAATCATTTTAATTCGTGGGGGCCAATGTTCGTGAGTAAGCAAAATTTTGTTGGTTCATGGGCAAGTAATTTCGTTGGTAACCCGTACATAAAAAGGATTCAATGGATAAATATGTTGTCAAAATAATTGTCCTGGGGATGTAAATTCGTGGATAAGGTAGACCCACGAAATCCACGAATATTGGACCCCCACGAATATTGATGATTCCACAGTATATAATGCATTCCGGGAAAAATTCGTTCTACCATGGCTTCATTTACATTCATATCGACATGGCGGTGCAGTTGTTGATACACAAGTTTTCAAATTAATTTTTCGCGAAAGGAATTATTCCGGACTTAACGTTACAATCTGGAGTAAGAAATCAACTTTAAATTGTTTAAAGGTTTTGCAAATACTATGCAACTCTTCGCTGCACTTCAAACACCGTCTGTTTACATGTGAATGACCAGGGCCCAAGCTAATGTCGAGTAAAAGAAAGTAGGTCATTTTTTAAATTGATTTCAGAATATCTCAACAAATATATGGAATTTCGGAATGAGCTTTGGTAGAATTGAAAAATGTTTATCTATGAATAGATTTAAATATAAAGTAGAATTCTAGAGCATTAGAATAAAAAATATTTTATTAGCGAAATTGGGTACCCTGTGTAAGAGTTCCATACCTTTATTTTTTTTTTCCACACAATTTTTTTTTAAGCGATCCAAAGGCCTGTGGTTTTGTCTGCTATCACGCACTCGAAAGTATACATGTATGTCATCATTTTGTTCATTCGTAGATATCTATTATATCGATACATGTACCTGGACCTTTTATAATTTGCAATTACAACAAGATTTTTTCTCTGGCATTATCAGTTCAAGAAAGAAGAACAGTGGTAAGCAGAGTACAGCAGAGAACAACATTTATTTATATTACAAAATTCAAAAATATCCGCTTACTCCAAACGATGAAGATATCAAGGTATGAAGGTATCCTTATCAAAAAAGACCCGAGTATTATTTCTTAATGATATAATTAACCATGCTCTTCAACCCCAACCCCAACCCCCATAGGCGTCGAAAGCAAATTGAAAGTGGGGAGAGGGGCTAATTGAAAATGGGGGGGGGGCTAAACCAAGAAAAAAAGGTAAACCCCAATTTTCAATGCCTATATTATTATACAGGTGTATATTATTTTAATCATTTATTCCAAGCTGTCTGATTGGCTCAAACATGATCACATGATTAAGTATATAACAGCATAAAGACTTGAGTTACGATTTATAGAATCTGAAATGCATATCGACTTGATGTTTCTTAAAATGGAGATAATTTTCTATAAAACAAAAATAGTACTGATTTTGCAATTATAGCTAATATAGAAATTCAATATCACTTGATGTTTCTGAAAAAAATGTTTACTTCAACTTGTATAGTATTTTTATGTTCTTTAATTGGTGAGAGTCATAACAATGACATGTTCTTATTATTTTCACTTTTTTTTATCAATCTATATAAAAAATAATATAACAAATGTAGCCCTTTAATTCGGTCAATCCATAGATATACCGACTTCACAGAAAAGCATATCGACCTCGCACTTCATGCTCGGTTGATATGCTTTTCTGTGAAGTCGATATATCTATAGATCGACCTCAACAAAGGGCTATATTTATATAATAACATTTTTGAAGAAGTTTTCCCATTATATCACAAATATAATATCTTTATCCATATGCCCGAAAAACTGCTGAATCACGCCGGATACAGTTATGTTCCACCGGAAACAGTTATGTTGCCCTCCCGAACACAGTTATGTTCCCTCGCGTGCAATCATTCTGCATATTAATTACGTCGGGTTCGAAATTCACAGAGGCAGTTGCTAAGCAAACGTAAACAGTTCCGCGAAAGTTAAAAAGTCGAGACAACGTCTGCGATCAGTTTATTTGAATTCAAAGGATATTAGATATTTTAATTGAGGAGAAAAATTCTTTAAATACAACAAAGGTTATCAACACAAGTGTCAGCATACTGAAAACATTCTGCCATGAAACAGGACGGGATATTTCGGAATTATACTCAAAGTACATATGTGTACATAGTGTTCAATAAATATAAATATGTTCGATGATCGATTTGGGTTCAATGCTTCAAAATGTTATATACCATATATTACATGGCTTAATTCTCGGGCAGCAATACCAGAATATTTGCCCCTCGGTGACAGGAAAGCCCTGGAGTGTTATGTCGCTCTCTGCCTGCGGCATCGGGCGACATAACACTCCAGGGCTTTCCTGTCACCTTGGGGCAAATATTCTGGTATGCTGCCCTCGAAGCCATGTAATATATGTATAATGTATATATTTGTAAAGAAGTGGGGGGCTAAGCCTCCCCTGCCCCCCCCCCCCCGGTCCCGATGCCTATGCCCTCCAGTTGAAAGTGGGGGATATTAATTTTGGTCTGTCCGCCTATCTGTAGTTCTGTCTGTCTATTACACTTTCGTTTAAACACAGTATCTCAAAATAACATTTCATACAGTATATATATACAACTCCCTATGACCTAATTAAGAGAGAACCCTATTAACGAGGTCTAAAGGTCAAAGGTCAGGGTCGTAAATCAATATTACATTCCGAGTGTGTGTAAAATTCTCATTTCCAGGCGATATTTCAAGCTTTTGTATTTGGCAATTAAAGTTTTATACCATAACCCCCTATGGCCCCTCCCGCCCTTTTTAAAGTGCCCCCTCGGCCCCATCCCCACCTTCAAATCAGCGCATTCTTTTCTTTTTTCAATAAGCGGAGGGCACAGATTTCCTGAATTAACTTGACTGTCGTAATAGCAGTTGGATCCTCCCTCCCCCCCAAGTAAGGGAAGAGAAGCTTTTGTTTTCAATTTACTATATATAATGTATAGTAGGGTTTATTTGTGGAGCGATTATTTTGGGCTCTTTAAGATTTTTTTCTATTGGACACATGATGAATAAGTGTAATAGATATAATTTGTAAAAAAAAAAAATGTCCTCAAAGTATCGATTTTTTCAATGCAATGAGAATTTCTCACTTTCAAAATCTTACTATTTTCCTGAAGTTATCATAATGATTTTAAATACAACTTTGAATCAAAGGCAGGTAAAATGAAATAAAAACTGAAATATTTAATTGGATGCATTTTACAATATTAATTTTAGTTTTGTTTCCCTGATTATCCATGCTTATATTGATTTTCATTACATGTAAAATTATTTTGATGAATGTTTTTACGTTTTGTGCTAGTAATTTGTAAATCACATTTACGTCAGTTGTCACCTATACATGACATATTTCATGAAGCGCAAATTCCAAGCAAGTTGAGGGACAGTTTTAATCCTTATCTTGCCGTGGATTCTAAAATATCAAAGTGTATTAAAAAATAAAAATTAATCGCCTACATTTTGAATTGTTTAATCAATTTTAACCAAAATAAATTCGTTTTTTCTCAAATGCCTTTCTAAATGCTAATTGTTACGTCATAAATTAAACTTGCGTATTCCTCCGGTATTTCCTAAAAAGTTACAGAAAACAACAAATTTCAGTGGAATTTTCTTTCAGATAATACAGACCAAAAACATCGACAAAAGAATTAAAGAAATGCAATATTTCAAAAAAAATTTAGCTAACATATTTAAAGACTGAAGTAGGCGAGAACTGTGGACAGCATTTTCTCAAGGAAATATGACAAGAGACACTTTGAAACTTTTCTCCTTTAAAAAAAAACCTAAAGATGTGCCTTAGTGACAAGTTTATTTTTTGTTGTTCTTGTAAATACATTTTAAAAAGCCTGCAAGTTCCGTGGGGTCAGAACACAGCCCACCCAAACCCTCTAGATCCGCGCATGTTTATTATTTATTTTGCGATGACTAAGGAAACAAGGAAGCTGTTTTAGATAAAGCAACACAAATTACAGAATATAAGGTTTTTCTATCAAGAAAATAACCAGATTTTCATTTTGATGAGGAGCTAACTACCAGATTTTCATTTTGATGAGGAGCTAACTAACATTTCATGAAATCAAAATGCACGTTATATACCTTGGCAATGACTCAAAATTCACAGCATCTTTATCAGCCCTTTTGAACAGATAATGATGAACATGTGCCATCTGTCATTTATTGTTTGATATCTGATGAAAGACTTTAAATGAGCACCCGTCCAATTCTAATAATAATAGAAAATAAAAATACATCCCCCACAATGACCTCACATTTCATACTTCTTTAAGCACGCACTGTTGTGTTGTGTGACTTAAGTGAATAAACAGCAAAGATTGCCACCTGTTTGTTTTTAATATTTTCAAACAAACAAAAATACAGTTATTGAATACTAATATATTAACTAGCAGAAATTTCCATAATCGCGTAAAATGAAGCCAAAGCAATGAGTGAATTAAATGAAAAGAAAAGCAAACTTGAGAATGTACATAAATTATACACAAAAAGGTTTCAAATACACCCTGCATGTATGCTGTTTACATTTAAGATGGTCCTCGATACATCATTTACTTTTAAATTCGTAAACTTTCACACAGTTACCATTGGTGACCACAAAGAAAGCCAGGCTCCCCTCCTTAAACTTGATACAAAACGGTTTAGGGATGTCGGGTATAATCCGGAGTACCCTCCCTTTGGGGGATAGAATATGGATGTTGTTGGATTGTTCCCCGGCCACGTAAATATCATCCAGGAAATCCACCGACACACAGACGGGACCTATCAGCTGAGGGTGTTTATACACCCATAACGTGTTTCCATCATCTCTCATGGCTGTCACGGAATTACCACCATAATGGCAGTGGATGATGTTTCCCATTTCCGTTACTGTAACAGAATAGGTCCACTTCCGGGTTGGGTAGGTCTTAAGGATATTTCCTTGCTTGTCCAATTTGATAATAGACGTTGGCCGTGTTACGTATATATGTTCGTGGAATTTCGCAACTCCCAAGCATGCCTCACCAGTTGGTATAGTTGAACCCAAACTGAATTTTCCAACGGAAACTTTCTGTAGCGCGTTCAGCCCTTCAAGTGCAATCAAGATATCGGAACCCTGAATTATAATATCTCTTGGTTTTGGCCCAACTAATTTTCCTTGAAGTATGTTCTTGCCAACGCAGTCCAGATAAATGAAGCGGAAATTAGGATAATCCGCCAGTAGTATTCCTCCACTTGGTAGGAAACTTCCTCCGTATATCCACCCGTTGTCCACCGTAAACTCTGCCTCTAAAGTCATCTCTGCTGTTGTGACGTCAAAACCGAATTCCATAGAGCACGATTTCTGGAATACGGAGAGTTCTGAGAGTTTTGAAATAGATTTCATTTCCTTCACTTTCGGTGAAATTTTTTCTTGTATATCAAATGATATCTTGTTGATATTTGTCTTTTTGATCTCATCAATTTTACGCTTCACTTCATAAAATTTAGTGACGTAAGTCAAATCTGATCCGTTGTCCTTGACCCGAGAGATCACTTGTTTACAATGTTCCATGTAGAGTTTCTTTTCCATTATGGAGTCCAGGGAAGAATTCAGCTTATCCTTTCTCTCTTTGGTAATCTTTGAAAGCTCTCTTGTGTGGGTGTTTTTCAGTACCTCCAGATGATCTACAATTTCTTGCTGTATTTCTTCGATAGTCTTCGTTATTCTTTGGGTTTGTAGGTCAATCTGAGAGATATTATTTTCTTCTTCTTTGGCGATGCTTTCGAGCTTTAGAGAAAGTCGGTCGATTTCTGTTATCAATTTCTCGATTGCACCGTCCTCTTGTAGTGCGGTTAGGCATTTATCAATAGATTCCACTTTTTGACATTTTCTATGTTCGAAACTGACGCAAGTGGTGCAGCACGCCTCCTGGTGGTCAAAACAGTACATCATTATCTCCCCTTTATGTTTCACACAGACATTTTCGGCTATCATTGCGGACCCTGAAGACCTGACTTCATTAAGCGGAGCCAGTCTGTGTTCTTGTGTCATCATGTTTTTCCTGTGATATTTTGTACACATATCGCATAAAAACTCCATACAAGTCTTACACCAATAAGACGCAGGTTGATCTTCCTGGACCCTATTGCATGCCTCGCATATACTCTGATCTTCCACAATATTATCATTTTTTAGATATTTTATCAGAGATTCATTGAGTGGTAATTGTTTGGCCCATTTCTCTGGTGAGCTAAATGTTCCAGGGGCAGCGACAAATTCTCTACATAATGGACAACGGAATCCTACCGGGGCGTTCTTTGATATGCAGGAAGAAATTATGTAAGACTCCAGGCAGGAATGACAAAAAGAATGTAAGCATGGCAAATAACGCGGATTTTTGAACCGTTCAAAGCAAACTGAACACGTCGATACATCACCTTTATGCCGAGGACTGTTAGATGTAGCCATATCTTGGAAAGGTCAGTGAATTCAACTCACCGTCTCACGACACCTGAATATGTATTATTAATTTACTGTACCTCAAACCCGGTCTTAATTTTTAAAGCCACTTATCAAGGTTAAAGGGGTATAGAGACGGATTTGAAGTTTATTATTAATTTTTTAAATATTCCGTATGATATAATGACTTATAGCATTCCACATGGAAATGAAATAAATTAGGAAATCGTTTTCAGAATCTTGCAGGAATTATAAAAGCAAAACCAAATCACCAATATTGTCAGTCCATGCTCAATGATGTATATGGAGTTTAACAAACTGATCAATCCCGTTCAAACGTTCAACCTTTTTTTAATAAAGAGCACAAGCTCCGTTCTCGCATGATAATGTTTCTCCGGGTGTGTTCATTTTGATTCTCGAATGCACAAATAAATAAATGTGAATATATCAATTGTGTTAAAGATCACCGCTAAAACATTACACTGATTGATATACCAATTTGTGACAAGAACTCTCTCTACACTGCACACTAAAGACTTATGATTCTATGGCATGGGCGTCGGAAGCTAATTAAAAGTGGGGTGAGGCTTATCGAAAGTGGGGGGCTAAAGCAACAAAAAAAGGTAAATCCCAATTTTCAATGCCTGTGTTATGTCTATTTTTGCAAGAAAGTGGGGGTTAGCCCCTCCCCCCTTGTTCCGACGCCTATGTATGGTATTTTTGCAGTTAGACTGATCTGCCTTTAGGTCTAAATTCTAAAAAAAAATAGAACTGGGCGGTACATTACACAATTTGTAATCAATTCAAGTATTTTTAACTTTTTAAAAGGCCAAGATAAACTAACTGAACAATCATGTTATTAACATGTACACTGTGCTTTCTCCGTGGAAGTAAATAACAGTGATTCCTATTCACTGATACTGCGCTGTGTTTAATTGTTTTATCTTTGGGGTAAATGCCTCGTTCCATACAGTAAATATTAATTAAAAGGGCTTAATATTAAGACCTTCAATATAAAATATATTTTTCTCAATGTCCTAAAAACATTTTGCACTGATGTAGAGAGTGTCCTTAGGACATACTTAGTAATTTACACGAATTAGTAAGATTTTGACATTCTTTTGACTAATGGATTGTGATAGTACCCAAACGGTTTTTATGCTTAATCCTTAAATGCCTACGTCTTTGTATCCGTTCTTTTACAAGCAGTTCTTTGCCCTGCCTAGACAAAGTAACAATGCAGTTCATATAATTTTTCTGTATTTATATAATAGTGTTGCATATAATTTTGTCCCTGTATTTTTATTATGCTGACTGTTGTAATTATTTGTGCGGCAATCCATTAATTTTTCCTGAAAATATCGGTGCTAACACAGCGCACTATAAATTCAAAATCTTAAAAATTGGTTGCATGCTTAGTTATTTTGGTTACTAGTTAAAAAGCTGGATTTTCTGTCCCAATGCGACTTCTTTATTTTCTGTTTTGTTAGTAGACTTATTTGTTTGCAGACGTCGATTCTCATTGATAATTGTCTTTTACATCCTTCAATCAAGCGTCATAGAAAAAAGCGTTTTAATGACCCTACGAAATCAGTTCATCTAACGATCTGTATGTAATTAGTTTGAAACTTTGTTGTACATATTAATCTAAGGTTCCTTAGAATAATATAACTGTTTTCAAATAGAATTTGCCTATTTTCTCCTTCTTGTGTCAATTGTATAAATTAAGTTTATATATTTAATAAAATTCCACTAATTAGTGATCGTCTCTGTGGCGTAATCGATAAGACATCGGGCTGACAATCTCATGGTTGTAAGTTCGGTCCCCGGCGTGTGCACTGAAGAATTTATTCAGTAAATGAAGCCGTGCAAGTTTTTTACGCTATATAAATCCTAAGACCACTATGCGAGAATAGTAGGGTATGGGTTATATAGAGACAAACTGACAGGAAGCATAATAATTTTCGATACATTAACATGACTATAAAGCTCAAGATGATAACAGTATAGTTCTTATCTGTTTGACGGCTTTTAAAAAGCTGGCTTTTTCAAAGTGTTTCTTTACAAGGTTAAAGTTTTTTATAAGTACGAAAATCTCCATGGTCAAGGTCGAAAAGTTAATTAAGGTTGGTGGTATCCAATGAAAGTTTTTGCCACAAAGAATACATACGTGAAGTATAAATGTCCTGGCTGCTACTGTTCAAAAATATGGAAATAAGAATTTTTGTATAAAAGTGGGTCAAACTCCAAGGTCAAAGTTAGAAGGTCAAATTTGGTGGTACCCCAAGAAAGGTCTTGTCACAAGGAATACACATCTGAAACATGAAAGTCATACATGTACCTACACTAAATTAAAAGATATGGACAAGGTTAAACTTATAGTTTTTGCGGACAAACAGAGAGAGAGACGGAGAGAAAGACAGACAGACAGCTATACAGACAGACGGACACGACAAAAACTATATACCCCCGAAATTTCATTTACGGGGGCATAAAAAGTCTAACATTTCTTATGTTTTGCTGAGCGGGCATAAAAAATCAATGTTGGACCGCTGAATGAGATGTTGAGATGTTTCTTACTTTAAAAAGTCCAACAGTTCGACTGTTTTCCACGACTGTCGGTCCAAGGGAACTGTTAAAATTGACTGTTAAAAAAGAATGTAGCCCGCTGACGTCATATGGCGCTAAACTCCGTTATGGATTACTCATTCGGCAAAACTCAGCTGATTCGCATAACCGTGATTTAAATGTAATCAGCCGAGGAGTGCCGAGTAATTTAAACATGTCAAGATAAACAGAAATGGCCGATGTTCGTTTCGCTGCGGCAAACGAGGATGAAAAAAAATCCAGTCGATCGATACTCGAATGTACTTTCAGATATTGTTTATGTTAACGACGAACAACTTGCTCTACTTCTTGACAACCCAATGTTTGGAAATTTTGAGAACACGGGCACCAGTATTGCTAACGCAAATTTCACAAAATCAATCTTTTCTCTTCATGGATGTTACATTACCATAAGAAATTAAAATGTGTTCAAATTTGTTGTAGAATTGAAATGTATTCTTTTACAAGTTTTAGCTAGTAGCTTTTAGCTTCAGAACTGTTTGTTATGTCATTCTCGTTTGCTATGATTCAAGATTGCTGATAATACAAATAAACATGATGAAGTTTCTCTCTGTCAAAATGATTTCACTTTTGTTAAATATATGAATTTGATTTGGTAGGACTATAACAAAACAGTTGTTGACAGGAGTCTCGGTAAACAGTCGACCTGTTGGACCGGAGTGCAAACTGTTGTCCACGGCCTACGGCCTTGGACATCGGCTTTTACTCCGGTCCAACAAATCGACTGTTTCCCTCTACTCTTGTCAACATCTGTGTATCGTTACATTTATGTTTTTTAACAATCGGTATTTCCATCATAATTCATTTATTTTTATAAATACGAGGATTATTTATTTTCAGACTGACTTTTCACGCTTGCGACATTTAAACAGATGTCAATTTGCACCTCATCTTCTAACACAAATCTGGGTTTAGATGTTACATGATCTTATTATTAATTCAACTGGAGTGTCCAAATATAGGCGGCGGAAAGGGTATAAAAGATGTTAATGCAAAACTAATAACTAATTTTAAAAACGTTGAATTACAAAACAGACCACCTTAAAACAAAATCAACAGACTTGTTTGCAAAATCAACAGACTCCGATGCAAAATCAATGATCACCGATGCAAAACCAGCAGTCATTCACTGAATTGACGCCAGATGGCGTGTAAAAAAGCAGACATTAGCTGAATTAACGCTAGATGGCGGTCAAGTTTTTTTTACTCATCTTTATTTTATACTTTCATTAAGGCAATATGTACATGTATGTGTACCCATATCTTTTTTTAATAAAACTAAGGTGATGGGATGAAGGACAGCGATTAAGCCAGGTTTGGGGGAGGGGTACTATTTTGAAGAAAATAAGAAAATTAGTAGGGGACCTTTGGTCCCAGAGCCTGCAGGGGGCGAAGTTTCCTGGCTGAAATTGAATTTAAGTTTTTCTATGGCCATTTATAGAGTGCCTTAATTTGTTCATTGCATACGGAACCATTTCTGTGTCAGTCAAAATGCACATGTGACACGCCCTGAAGGTAATATAGTTCAAAATAGTTCATGCATGAATTTATCATTTATCAGATACAAGTATTTTCAGAATGTAATTTAAAGTTTACATTTCTTTATTTCACAAGTATCATATAATTCATACATGGTGTTTCAACAAACATGAATCCCACAATTTCTCCTTAAAAAGCATTCCAGTCTCCACGTTGAAATTTCCTTAGGTAAAATCAACGGAAGTACCTAGAGAATGTATGAAAACACCCGAGAAATATTATTACCTCTTGTCAAAACTCTCTCGGACGTTATCCTAATAAATGAAACATTCTCTAGGTACTCCCGTTGCGTTTACCTATGGAAATTTCAACGTGCAAACTGGAATGCTTTTTAAGGAGAAATTGTGGGATTCTTACGAGATGCATTGCCAATCCGATAGCTTGGACTGAGACAGAAATATATGTAGAGACAATGTGAATCGACATTTAGGTTGAAATAAAATATATACACCCCAGTCCAAAAAAAAAAATCCAACCCAGAAATTTCTTGACAAAAAAAAAAAGTACACTCGCCCAAACTTTTAAAACCGATTTCGGGGGGGGGGGGGGGGGGGGGGGGGTCGATGACTTCTTATGCTTCAAACCTTTGGCTTTTTCATACCAATTTAACACAAATTTGCGTTTACCAAAGGGGGGGGGTCTGCGTTTTCCGAGGGGGCCCAAGGTAACTTTTTTCTTGCTTTAGTAAATAAATTTAATAACATTGCACATTCCAGGGGGGTCCTGACCCCCCCCCCCCGACCCCCCTTTAGATCCACGTATGTTTAAAACCCATAAATACCAGTGGGGGTACAACGTAAACAAACCGGAGTGGCATACCTTTCTTTCGTATAATGTAAAGTGAGGTATTTTTTGTGGAGCGATTACTGTAAACCAACTTTTATTCGCGTGCGAGAATTTTTCGCGAGAGTCTTGTCATCGCGAATATTTCTCGTCCCCAACCGATGCTTTAGGTCTTTGTGTCTATGAACAACAGATCAAAAACGGCTTGATCGCGAAATTTAATCGTCGCGAATAAAAGTTGGTTTACAGTATTTTGGGATTTTAACGATTTTTAGCCAGGCTTTGCTGATAGGCATCATGATCGACTGATTTGCTATAAATAACACAGTAAACAAAAAACCAAACAGCGTCAAAGCAGGCGCTTCCGATAAACAGAATAGTCCCATTGCGAGACGATATTCAAACAAATATTTTTATCACCTCAATCGTTGGAAAAGTTAATGATCTACATTTTTGCTTGAGAATTAAACTGAAAAAGAAATTAGATATTTTCTTTATTGGGATAATCGTGATATAACAATTTGTGTACATACGCCGCTGAATGCATATTGTAAGCGAACTATTTTCAATAGCGCGAGCTTTTCGAAATTTTGAAATTGTTAAAAAGTTTCATGTTTCATATCGTTTTCGTCGATGTTATGTTGGTGATTACATTCTGTATTCATTTTTAGCAAATTAATAGTATAGTGAATTTGATTTTTTAAGAATTAACATGCGTGAAGTCGCTTGACAATTTACATGAATCAGTGTTTCTATATGTAGTTGGCAATATTTAAACTAATAGAATGTCTATGAAATACACATGTGCATTATTTTAACTATTCTAAGACTGAATTTTTAAATTATGAGAAAAAATGCTAATCGAATAGAAAATTTGCGAGAATTTCTATGTGATTGAAATATTATTTGTTAAATTTTAAAATCATGTGATTGAAATATTAACTACTGGTACATTGTATATAAATTTTAAAATCTAGTATTTTTTCAGATCAGACAATATACTCGAGCAATTAAAGCCCGGCTTTCAGTTCTTTCAATACTTTGATTTTCTATTGTACTTATGATGAATGTGTGATTTGTGACACACCAATAATTCACACTAAACTTACATGAAGGTATATTTACAGTTATTGGGTGTGAATCACACAGACTATATTTACATTTTACATGTTTGTGATTCACACACCAATATATACACAATATTTGATATTTACATTTACATGTTTGCCCTATATCGTTGCATTTTTACTAACGTCGCTGCAGCCTCATTGTGACATCACGTTTACGCACGTTTCTCCGTGTATATTTCTACGCGTGAGTATACACGAAAATGGTTTTCATATCAGTTTCACAGTTGGCTTAGCAGAAAAACACAGCGAATGTAAATATTGCTGCATAAGTAAGTGTAGTTGACAAATGAATAGTCATCACGTTTATCATAAATCTTGGTAGTTTAGATATTATCGTCTTGTTCTAGTGAAATAATAAAAATATCCAAATATGAAACAAATATGTCGGACCCTGTGGTATCTCTAATTTCAATCCCCCCGGGATATATCTATCGACCTAAGAATGGAAATATATCAATCAGAAACTCGGGCATTTTTATATCAGTTTAAGTGTACTTTTGTGTACAATCAGAATTTTGCAAATGACCGATGACAAGGTAAGTAGATTTACACTTTCCATTTATATTTGTTACATGTTATATTTTTTCTTTTTGTTAGTTATCGAGTCCATTTTCAATAAATTATCGGTTTACCTTTTGCTGTGATTGGATGAAATCTGTTAATTACATACCTACTTTAAAAAAAAATTCTGACCGGGCAGAATGAAATAAAATTAGCCTTTCTAAGTGACAGTGGTATCTATTGAACTTTTTTAATGAGATATCATTCAAGCTAGCATCTATATTCAACATTTTGTAGATATCTATTTCTGAAGAGATATCTATATTTTCCATTTTTTAATCAAGATAAGATATATATCTGTAACTTATTTTCGGGAAAAAGAAAAAATTTGCAATATTTCTAGATAAGCTAGGTTTAATCATCTTTATTTGCAAAAGCCTTTTCCAGGGTGTGAAACTTTCATAAATGTACAATGACAATGTACTTAACATGTTTATTATCAAATTTTGATTCAGTGTTAAAATGACATCTTATAAGGATATATATACATTAACCTACATAAAACAATTTATTTAACAAATGAATTGTTTTTGGCTTTTAAAAACCAAACATTAAAGTCAAAATTTCTTCTATGACGTACAGTTTGACTTATAGTTTCTTATGTATTTTATTTCATAAGGTTTGGACATGACAAACCAAATCTTGATTGCCATTTATATGTTACGTGTACTTAACACAAACAAAACTTAGATGCACGGCTTGATAAAACTTTTTTTGCTTTCTTACAATTCTATACAAAATTCTGAACAATGTTTTAACATCATGACAAAATCATAAAATTGTCCCACTATACTTTGTTAACAGTATGCAGGTTACCAATTTAAATGTAAATATATGAGAAATATGGTTGATTTCTGAGAAAAGTTGTGTTATTTATCCCTAACCTGCACGTCAACAAGGGAGCTATTGTAACTTAATATTTTTTGTTTTAAAGTAAAAAGATTGCAACGAAGTCAATACGGTGGAAAAGCCTTTTCCAGGGTATGAAATTTTTATACAGTGTACTTTGCATGCGTTTATTATCACATATTGCCTCAGTGTTAAATTGATAACATAATTATATGATTAACCTACATAAAAAATCGATTAAAAAAAAGTAAATGTTTTTCTTTAATAAAATATAATAAAGTTACTTTAATAGCTTCTTCTTTTACGTGCAGTTTAACATATAAACGGCAATCAGGATTTAACATATAAATGGCAATCAGGATTTGGTTTGTCATGGTTTGTCATGACCAAATCTTATGAAATCATATACTTAAGGCCTTTTTAGTGTTTTGAAGAATTTTAATGCTTAATAATTTATTTTTGATACTAAATACTAGTGATTTTGATACTTAATTATTTAATTGTTGTAGCTTTTTGAAACATAATTGAGTATCCACGTGAGAAACAAACTCAGAAGAGTGATGCACATTAGGTATGTCATTTAAATACAAGTAAAACAATAATAATAGTAATAGTTATATCACTTTGCTCTTTTACAAACTGATAATATAAGAAATCATAATACGAATGCAAAGAAAATCAATTGTACATTATTGTTGAAGTCAGAGGTTCCAAAATTTCTTTTCCAGAAGAGACATGTCATTCTCTAAATAGCTTGATAACGAAGCTGATGTCTAGGACCATTGACTTCATTTCACTGAACAAATCACCGGTTGTGCAGAAACTGAAAGTAAGAATTAATAAGATTTAAAAGAATTGTTTGAAAAAAAAAGTATGCACTGTACTAAAATCGTACTCAACCTGTGTATTTCCGTAAAGTCAATATTTTGTTGTTAAAGAGAAAATACTAGTTTTTAACATATTTGTTATATAGTTTAGATTTTATAATACTAGTGGAGTTTTGCGATGAGCGCTAGCGCTGATTTTTACAGTTGACAGCTTACTTTTAAAGTAGGAAAATATACGGAAGCTCTTTTACGATACAAATATTTAGCTCAACATTTAATTAAACGAAAATAACGGGTTGTTTCAAAGCACAAATAAGTTGGCCTTGAAGAACCCGGCAACCACTCTACCCGCAACTCCCAGTCCTCACATGCAAGTTCCCCTAACACCAAATCTATAACAACTAGAAAGGTTTTTTTTTCTTTTCTATAATCAGTTCTGTATCTCCATAAATGACAAAGGTTTAAATGTCAGAGACAACTGTCAACTGTAAAAGCCAGTGCTTCTCGCAAAAGTCCAGCATTCAGTTCATTTATTGATATCACCATGTTGGTATACAGTCAAAACAATAAATCAAAGAACACGGAACAGAAAAAAAGAAAAAAAACCATAATTATTCATGGGCGTCGGAAGCAAATTAAAAGTGGGGGGGGGGGGCTAAACCAACTAAAAAGGTTAGCCCCAATTTTCAATGCCCTTATTATGTCTATGTTTGCAAAAATGTTTCAGACGCCTATGATAATTACAAACAATACAATTTCTCATCATTCTTTATAATATCTATAGTCCCTGGATTTGTTTTTTTCTGCATTAAGCATTAAAAAAACATGAACGTTTAGTAGTATTATAAGTATATGGGTTTACAATTCCTTTAATGGGATCAGAACCACTACTAATATAAGAGAATTAAACTAGTGATTACACACGTTTGAGATGTTATTTACCTGTGGGTACCCCCCTCCCCCTGAAATTTTATATTTCGTGAATAAAATGAATTTGTAAGTTTCATCATATAACGAACATGACGAAACTTAGCTATTTTCCTGTATTTTATGGCGTAAGTAGGAAAATTGACATCATTGGCATGTTGTAAATTTCATTCATTAACCAACCAGTAAACTGTAAAGGCCCTTTCACAATTGGCGCACGAGCACTTTACAACACTTTGCGATCGGAAAATTTTAGCTTCGCACGAGCTCTCGCATACGTTGCACGATGTCTCGCATTCATTGCATGTGTTTTAGTGGTCGCATCAAGTCTCTTCAAAATAGTCAACATGCACACTATTCAGACGCGACCAAATGCGATCCAAATTATCGCAATTCAACGCACGAAAGTTAGTGCGAACGTCTTACAACGTTTTATGTACTCGTAAGAGTGATGTACGATTTTTAAAGATCGTAAGATGAATCGCAGCTGTCTTTGCGTGTGTTTTGCAACCATGAGACTGTTGCTCAACATGTCTCGTGTAATCTTGCAACGTTTTACTATCATTGCTTGATTTATCACCTTCAATTGCCATTCTTTGCAAACAGGTATATATGCCATGTATAATTATAAGCATATTAACTATGTCAACTGAAGAGCGTCGGAAACGGGTGGTATATATACCCGGCCCTCTGACTCGCACGAACATTCGTACTATGGAATGCATAAGCGCACGAGCACCGCACGTCTAATCGTATTGTCGCACGTTCAATCGTCCGATTACCTGATCAGTCGTGCAATCCTATCGCATTATCTTACAACACTCGCTTTCATTCTACAACAGTCGCATATAGACGCAAGATATATCGCAAGATTTAATGCACAACAGTCGCTTTAAATCGTGTGCATTTCGTACGAACACTTTTTTCATATGCGATTATTTTGGCAACAGTCAAAATTATTCGGTCGCACGAATATTTTGTCGCTTCTGCTCGTGCGCCAATTGTGAAAGGGCCTTAAGATAAGTGCCTTGTACCGTCCTTATGTAAACTTGTAAATATCTTCATCTGATATTCAAAACTTGCTTGTTCACAAAGTCTTTCAGTTATATTTTGGTAAATACTTATATATATTTATTTACTTAGTCTAGTTCATTTTGACTTTGTAAAGGACATAGGATATTTTTTCAAGTACAAACATTGTCCATATTTTTCTGCAAAATAGGCATTTAAGAATATTATTATTATTATGTTTATTCACCAATCATGGGCCCACGGGGGGCATGAACAATTATTACAAAATGATAACATTGATTACAATTCTATATTAAGGATAATGTAACATGACTAGTGATTAAGTTTGACATTGAGAAGTGCATCACCACACTGGATCAAAAGCATAGAAACCATAGAATGATAAAAGAAAACACAATTAAATAAAAATGATAGATATAAGGTAAATAAAAAAAAATCTTGTAGTAATGGCAGTACTCTAATATAAAACTAGTGCATCTTGAATACAAAGGGCACCAGGGGATGATACCTCTACACAGCCAGTCTGGCAAACCTGTACCCTAAGTATTGAAGATGGTCATTCAAAAAAAAAAATCATTTAAGTATTAACAGAAATAGTAATTTCAATTAATAAGTACTTAGCATATAATTATAAATTTAATGCAAACTAATCTCTTGGAGTTAGTTCAATAGATATTTGACATATGCATACCCACATACACAAACATACACTTACTGTTACACAAATCCATGCATACAAAAATAATAATTTATATACAAATATATGTATGTATAGTATATATTATAAACATACACTTATTGTTACACATATCCATGCATACAAAAATAATAATTTACACACAAATATATGTATATATATAAACAAATGGTACTATCATGTATAAATGTAAATCTGTGATCTTGAAGGTAGCATATAATTAATGTAAAGAAAAGGTAACTTGGATACAGAGGGTACCAGGGGACGATGCCTCTGCACAGTCAATTATACTGGCAAACCCGTACTCTAAGTATTCAAGACACCCATTCTGACTGATTCTGTACATTTAAGAAGGGAATGGGAGGACACATTAAATTTACAAAAAAAAAAAAAAAAAAAAAAAAAAAATTCCATAGGTTTACTAATACTTTTCATACTTCAGCTCTCATAATCATTTTACTGACTTGACTCAGTATTTGCACATCCTCATTAGTCATGAGCCAATTTAACTTATTATCACTGTCCAAGTTGTGGAAATTCTTACAGGAATTGTTTATTAATTCATACAAGACTTTTCTTTCATCCTTAATGTGATTACATGAAAAGAAAATGTTTCTCATCATCAACTGTTTTGTTATTGCATCTATTGCAGTGTCTTTCTTCTCTAGGAATGCCTATATATCGACCCCTTTCAATATTAAGTCTGTGAGCTGATATGCGAAAACGAGGAAAACTTCTCCTCTGCGCAAAATTCTTAATTAAATTAAGATACTTTTCTTGACCAAAATTTTGTTTAAAAGTGCTATAGCATCTCAGCTTTTTATCAGAGTGTGATTTAAGTTGAGAATTCCACTCTTGTATATAATATCTAAATAAACAATCTTTAAGTTCACGTTTGAATTTGTGCATTTTGACTGAAGTTAAATCACGAATACCCTCGATATTGGTAATAAGAAAATTAATGGAGCTGTACCAAGAAGGGAGTTTTTTCTCAAACAATGATTTGGATTCACAATATGCATCTTTTAAAATTGGGAAAGAATGGCCTAGATTTTCAAGCCTATACCAGTACCTTATCATTGATCTTACAATGTCAAAGTGCAGGGGAAATCTACCTAAATCAGACAATACAGCAAAATTAGTTGCAGTTTTATGCACACCTAGTACTGATTTACAAAATTTCAAGTGGAGTTTTTCACAGAATAAGTTGGAGTATATTTTATCAATAGTACAATTGGGTATGCTATTTTTTTTTGTAAATGGATTAAAACAACCCCAAACTTCAGATGCATACAATAAAATAGGTTTAATTGTATGGTCAAAAATATGAATAGTGGTTTTAACCTCAGGATTCAGGGAAATGAAATTTTTCCTGAGTTTAAAAAATGATTTTAATGCTTTTTGATAAAGCTGCTTTTGAGCAAAGGAGAAAGAACCCGAAGAACAAAATGTCACACCTAGATATTTGTATTCAGACACACATTCCAGTTCGACATCATCGAGGTAAAATTTTGTTTTGGAGAGTCTACCTGCTTTGTTAAAAACAACTATCTTTGTTTTAGATGTATTAACACAGAGACACCAATCGTTGCAGTATTGCTGTAGAATATTAAGTTCTTGTTGTAAACCTTCCGCTGTGGAGGAGAGTAGAATTATGTCATCAGCATACATCAAACATTTAACTGAATTTGAATTTAAATAAACAGGGTTAGTAGCTGAGTTCAGGTAATCTGGAAGATCATTAATAAAAAATTTAAATAAATTGGGACTAAGATTGTCACCTTGCTTCACTCCCAAAGTTATTGGGAAAAAGTTAGTAATCTTATTATCGACTCTGACACAGGATTTACTTGATGTATACATACTTTTCACTACTTCATAAAAATTTGTTCCTACCCCTATTTTGAGGAGTTTAATTTTGATTCCTGTGTGTATAACAGTATCAAAGGCTTTTTGAAAATCAACAAAGCAGGCATATACTCTACCATCTTTAGTATTACAGTACTTATCAATAATTGTCTTGAGTATATACATATGGTCTGATGTTCTTGCTTTTCGAGTGAAGCCGATCTGATAATCACTTATTATATAATTATATGATGTTTTTCTAAAAATTTATCAAGTCGAATGTCTAGTATTTTATTGAATAACTTTCCTATTGCATTTGTAACTGTAATGCCCCGATAGTTGTTTGGATCAGAACTATCATTACTTTTATAAATAGGAATAATGTACCCAGAAGACCAAGGTTTTGGATAATATCCAAATGTAAGGCAACAGTTGAATATTTTATAGAGACATGGTAGTAAAAAAGTTTGACTACATTTGATCATATGGTTTGAAATATTGTCAAGACCTGGGGCTTTTCCATTTTTTAATTTTGAGATAGCATTTGAAATTTCTGCTACAGATATATGATTATCAAGTTCACTAAAACATTTAGTTTTTTCCAGATTGGTAAGAATATTATCAAGCTGTGCCAGACGTTGAGCATACGTGGGTTTTGGTTGGTTTAGATTTTGGAAGTGAGAGACCCAGGTGTTTGGATCGATTGCGTCCGAACTGTTCGTGTTTTCAGTACCTTGCAGCTTATCAATAAGATTCCAATAAGATTTTGGGTTTTCTTCATGTAGAGTTTCTAACTGTTTTAGCAGAGATTGTTTATACTGTCTGCATTTGTATTTCCTTGTTTTGGTATATTCTCTATACAGTTTGTAATAGTGATTTCTGACAGCAGGATCTTTGGGGTATTTAGTATATATCTTTGCGTAGCTAAATAAATTTCTTCTCATGGAGTTTTCCGAATCAAACCATCTTTTATGGTTTTTGTTTGTCTTTTTGCAATTTTTTTTGCATTTTCTAAGGGACTTATCTGCAGTATTAATAAGGATATTAGATAATTCTAATGTAGCATTATCAATTGTCGAGGGAGAATTAAGATTAGGTCCATTTAAAAGATTATGTAATTTTCTTTGAATGTCCTCTGAATTAAGAGCGGCTTCGAAGCGAGCAGAAGAATCATCAGACCAAATGTAGTTAGGAGATACAGGACTTGAATTGACATCATTCATATCAGATTTAAGACAAAACCTGGCAGATAGTGACCATTGCAACAAACAGTGGCAATCAGACAAAGTAGGTAAAAATTCTGATACTCTAAAATACAATATTTGGTTTAGTATTTTTTCTGAAACCAACACATAGTCAACTGTGCTACATCCATTTGGTGTAAAACATGTATAATTACCAACTGTATCTCCAAAGGTACGACCATTTAATATTCTCAATTGGTTTGATATACAGAGATCTAATAATTCTTTGCCTCGATTATCTAATTTAGAGTCCATGTTAAGTCGATTAATAATTTGTAAGTCAGCATTGTATCTTGAATCAAGAGGAATAAAATTATCATCATCGTTTTCAATGAAATCAGGTTCTGTAGATACCCTTGCATTGAAATCTCCGCAGAGTAGAATATTACCAAGTGATTTGTAATGAGGTGTGTCTTTTTCAATACACTCGAGAATATCATAGTCAATACCTTTGGAATATGAATTTTCCGGGGGGTTATATAGTACACATATGAATAAATCTTGGTCAAAATTGAAAAAAATTTTCTCTAACTTAATCCACTGAAAATCCGATTTTGTGTTTTTTAGGATCTTTATATGTGGTTTAAATTCACTTCTACATAGCATGGCTAACCCCCCCCCCCCAAAGTTCTGTTATGCTTTGATGCAGACCTACAAACAAAATGACAGTAGTGATTTCCTATCTTATGGATACATTGATCATGACCAACATGAGTTTCGGCCAGAAAAACAATATCAAATTTTTCTATCTGTTTGAGAAAAACTGGATCATTCAGTTTGTTATATGACTTGCTCAAAAGACCCCCTACATTCCAGAAGCCCATTTTGACCGATGAATAAACAAAAGATGACTTCATAATCAAAAGTTACAATAAAAAACAAAAAAAAGTATATATATACTAGGCTTCAAGTATTAAACCTTTTATAAGGTATTTATCTGAACACTAAAATCTAATGTAGACATTGACCTAGCTGCATATTTATATGTTCTCTATATTCAGTGGCAAATAAAAGCACATGAAATTACTATAAATCAATTAAGCATCTCTTATCTGAGAGTGTTAATAATAAGGAATTAAACTCAGAAGCCAAGTTTTCAAGAACTAGACAACACTACAATGTTTCACATTTTACAACATAACATTAATACTTTGTGTAACCCCGACCTCGACCTCTCCTGTTGTTGTGGCGGAATCTAGATCTGGATCTTTCCCGATCTTGGACAGGAATGTTAAGGAAAGTGTGAATGGTTTTTTTGATATTGGCTGCTAATAGCGATGTTCCTTTAACTGAGAGATGATATTGGTCTTCTGCAAGAAATTCAGGGGTTGGATTGCCATCTGTAAGCATGTTACCGTGGTCGCAGAACAACAACATTGGTTCCTCAGACAATCTTTGTTTCAATATTGCATTGGTAATTTGCCCATTGGTATGGTACTCAAGGTTGTCCAGTCTTGGCGTGGCCAGTGAGAGTATTGTGATAGTGTTTTGCCATTTGGATTTAATTGTTTGGATCAAGCTCTCTAGGACATTAACACAGGCCTGTGGCTCCATTTTTGTCAGGTCATTAGTAAGTGGGTGAAGAACTAATATGTCTGGGTGTAGGTTACAGGTTTGGATAAAGTCCCTGGTTTCTTTCATTGTATATTTTATTATTTTGGTGATCTCCGCAACCGGGGTAAGTTTGTTTTCATTGATTCCTTTCACGTTAGATGTCCCAATGAGTAAGATGTTAGGTTTCGCTGCTGCTGTGTCATGCTTTGGCTGAAGATCTCCAACATTGGAGGAGCTCACTGCTTGAGAATAAGACATGGGAGTTTTAAGCTGTTTCTCCATTCTCTCGAGCGTTTCGGTGACATCCATTTTAAATTTATTAAGAGATAGACAGACATCTTTAATCTCTTCTAATTCTCTTGCACACTGATGTAATTTCTTTAAACAGGCATCATTGTTTTGATTGATAAGGGTGACCAAGTAGTTCATGTCCTTTCCTTGGCTGGCCTCAAGCTTGCCTATTGCATCAGTCATGGAACTTTCAAATCTGTGTAGGTTTACTAGATGCTCGTCACTACGTTTATCTTGGCTCTGTGCTTGAGCTGCCGTTTTTACTAGTGTTATCTCATCATCAGTTTCGACAACTCTCGACTCATTGTTTGATGACTGATTTTCTGTTTCCGTGTGTTCTACCGATGAATGTGGAAGTTTCAAGTGAAGAATTTGGCCGAGTACACGTTTCAGGATTGGAAAGTGTTTCTCAACGAATAACATGTACTTGCTGCCCTGGGCTCTGATGGTTCCAGTTGTAATAAAAAATGTTACATTGTATGCTAGGCTATTATCCTTCTAACACAATAGAATTGGCGCTGTCATTGGAATCTTCCCAGATTTCAGGTTCATCATAACATTTAATAATGTAGCTATCGCTTTTCCCCAGGTGACCATAGTAAAAGCTATCGAGAGTCTTAATCCACGGGTAAATTCTTTGTAAATTGGTGTGGAAAGCGACCATGTTTGCACCCTTTTCGTAAGTTTTCAGATCAACTTCTTCAAATAGCGAGTTTCTTGCTTTACCCGATCTCTTGTTGAGCTTTTTTGGTAAGCTGGTCAGGGGATATTCGTTTACAATTCTGGTCCACGATGAGTCGATAGGGGGTATTTCTACAATGTCTGCCATTTTGGCGCGAATCACTGCTAGCTCTGTCGGACGATATTTTTAAAATTCTACAATGTTCAAAAAATTTAAACTGCCGATCGAGTAAAACCTGTAGCACACTTACAAATACAAGTCAAAATTGCAGAAAAGACCTCAGATTATACAAGAATGTTGCTAGAACAATGTCAAAAAGACTTCAGTGTTCACGTTGTTTTTAAAGTCCAACCATATCGGATCTCGAGCCCGACAACATTTTTATGCTATATATATTTTTGCACTTTGTTTGCTCCTATTGTGACACGATAGCGGTGTTTTCTTTGAAGTTTACTGTTCTGTACTGTTAGCAATACAGAACGGGACTGTGGTGGGCGGAGCTACTTTCCGTTCTGCATTAGCCTTGTATACAGTATTGTATTTGCCAACTATTCTGTATCTAAAATACAGCACAGTCTAAAAATAAATCTGATTCAATTTAGCAAAGCTGGCACGTACACATAATAAATAATGATGTTTTCCTATTATTAATTTTTAAGAAATGCCCGGTATTTTCCTGAGAATGTAGAATGTCAAAATTTCTCAATCACTTTCAAAAAACTTATTCCACACAGTATCTACACGTAATTTCGATCGAAAGTAAAAAAAAAAAATCGCAATAACGGAAAACATCCTCTAGCGCTGTACCTAATTTTGAACAATCCACACGAAACAGAAAATTCACTATAACGGAAAAAATCCTTCTCGCTGACGACAGCCACACGTCTCTTTCACTTCGTTTTTAATGTCGCAATTCAATTTGAAAATAAAAATCCCTGACATCAAAGTCCATCGAAGAATTTTCTGTAAATCCCGTTTTTGTAAATCTAGTTAAACCGGGATTTTAAGACCCCTGAAATAAATTATGATAAATCTCCATCTACAATTATAACAATAGATCACAACAATTACGGTTAAATCCTCCAATTTATCCATTAAGACTGACTATCACTCGATTACGTCTACCCCGTTAAATTGTCAAAACAAATCTGACCGAATTTTTCGTTTTCCGTGGAAATATATATACTGCGGATGCGTACTCCCCGTCGGGGCCTCATCTACAGAACTCTGGCGTAAGTTTGGATGCTGTAAAGTTATAAAGTGGGCGGAGCTATTTTTGATTGATCGTGTCACAAATCATTTAGAGAACGAGACAGGTTCTGTATCGTAGATACAAATTTGGGGGCGGAGACTCGTGCTTTCGCACTCGTCTGCCCCCAAATTTGTATCTACGATACAGAACCTGTCTCGTTCTCTAAATGATACTTAGCACTTGAAAAATCTTTTCGAAATATTCTAAATATTTGTTTCAGGTATTTCATTCTTTTGTGTAAAAAATAAAACTATTTGAAAAAGAACAAATTTACACATTTCATTCCGTAATTATATTTTTTAACATGAATGAAAATCTACAAAAAGTATATATCAAGTTCTCAAGTTTCGACTGAGACAAATTCTCAAATCAAACCAATGAGTGAGGATGTCTCACCCGCTTCTGTTGCCAAAATAAACTTCATTTCTTCTTCAACTGCACCACACTTTCCACACCATCCTCCACACCGGAAAGACACTTCCGCTCCGTCTGCTGAACGCTGAAAATCCAGTATACCAGTAGCATAGCCTCCCACTCTACCGAATACAATCTGAATATAGAATTTTGTTTTTATTATAATTATTCACGGTTACACGGGATAAAATTGACTTGGGTATTCAACCAAAGGTCTTTCTGTCTTTTAGCTCACCTGAGCCAAAGGCTCAAGTAAGCTTTTCTGATCAAAATTTGTCCGTTGTCTGTCGTTGTTGAACCACTGGGCCAATTTCAACCTAACTTGCTACAAAGTATCCTTGCGTAAAGGGGATTCAAGTTTGTTCAAATGAAGGGCCACGCCCTTTTCCAAGGGGAGATAATTAAGAATTACAGAAAAATTAATGGCATTTTTAAAAAATCTTCTCAAGAACCACTGGGCCAGGAAAGATGAAACTCATGTGGAATCATCCTCAGATAGTGTAGATTCAAGTTTGTTCAAATCATGACCCCCGGGGATATAGGGCAGGGCCACAATGGCCGATCAAAGTTTAACACAGGAATATATAGGAAAAATCTTTAAAATCTTCTTCTCAAGAACTACCGGGCCAGGAAAGATGAAACTCATGTGGAATCATCCTCAGATAGTGTAGATTCAAGTGTGTTCAAATCATGACCCCCGGGGATATAGGGCAGGGCCACAATGGCCGATCAAAGTTTTACACAGGAATATATAGGAAAAATCTTTAAAATCTTCTTCTCAAGAACCACTGGGCCAGGAAAGATGAAACTCATGTGGAATCATCCTCAGATAGTGTAGATTCAAGTTTGTTCAAATCATGACCCCCGGGGATATAGGGCAGGGCCACAATGGCCGATCAAAGTTTTACACAGGAATATATAGGGAAAATCTTTAAAATCTTCTTCTCAAGAACCACTGGGCCAGGAAAGATGAAACTCATGTGAAATCATCCTCAGGTAGTGTAGATTCAAGTTGTTTAAATCATGACATCTGGGGGTAGGGTGGGGCCAAAATGGCCGATCAAAGTTTTACATAGGAGTATATAGGAAAAATCTTTAAAAACCTTCTTCTCAAGAACCACTGGGCCAGGAAAGATGAAACTCATGTGAAATCATCCTCAGGTTTTAGATTCAAGTTTGTTCAAATCATGACCCCTGGGGGTAGGGTGGGGCCAATGGCCGACCAAAGTTTATAATAGGAATATATAGGGAAACATTTTAAAATCTTCTTTTCAAGTACTTCAAAGCTGTGATTAGTAATATTTATATGGAATTATCCTCAGGTAGTGTAGATTCTAGTGTTCAAATCATGATCCCCTGGGGAGTTAAAATTCAAGCCCCCCCCCCCCCTCCAACCTCTGATATGTGCTTTTTCCTAGCTGTTGTGCTCAGGTGAGCGCTGTGGCCCCATGGCCATTTGTTGTCCTTCCTTCTAAAAAGTCCCAAACTCTTGAATGTACCAAATTCTTATTTGAAACTTTTTCTTAAAATAGAAAAAAAGATATGAATTTTTTGCACAATTTTAATTAAATAGTACCATTATGCAACCTTTACTTTGTGTTTCTGTCGGACAGATATATCGGTTTCCTATTGCAAAACATGTTGACAGTTTTTGGGCATTTTAATTTCCCAACCCCAACTATACCACGCAATGCTTTTAAAATACATGTAAGTATTTATTTTCCTCATAGTGATCAAAGTGATTGAAGAAAATTTAATGAGGCAGAGTCTAATTCGAGTGCGCATGACTTTGCACAGCTTTTTAATTTGAAATTTCATGCAGTCATACATGTAAGTACAACAGTAAACCTTTTCCAAATATTGTAATTTTAATATGAAATTAACATTATCAATAACGCCTACTGGTCTGAAAATGAGATTTTACGACATTAATCAGAAAAAATGCTGAAATGGCTCTAACGATATCACTGTTTCCCGATTTTGTAAGCAAAGCACGACGATGAAAAATGACACATGACTCGCTTATATGTTTGAAGACGTCCATGGATATTAAATGTGTAATTAATTAGACCGAAAATAATTATGACATTATCTTCTCAATCTACAGATTTTTTTCCGTTTTTAGCTCACCTGAGCCGAAGGCTCAAGTGAGCTTTTCTGATCAAATTTTGTCCCTCGTCCGTTCGTCTAGCTGTCTGTCCGTCTGTAAACTTTTCATATTTTCGACTTCTTCTCAAGAACCACAGGGCCAATTTTAACCTAACTTGGTACAAAGCATTCTTTGGTGTACGTGAGTTTAAATTGTTAAAATGAAGGGCTAAGTCACTTCAGAAGGGGAGATAATCAAAAGAAGACAAAAATAAGGTGGGGTCATTGAAAAATCTTCTTCTCAAGAACTACTGGGCTAGGAAAGCTGAAACTTATGTGAAAGCATCCTGGGGTAGTGTAGATTCTAAATTGTTCAAATCATAACCCCCATGGGTAGGGTGGGGCCACAATAGGGAATCAAAGTTTTACATAGAAATATATTGGAAAAAATTTAAAAATCTTCTTCTCAAGAACCACTGGGTCAGAAAAGCTGAAACATATATGTGGAAGCATTCTTGGGTAGTGTAGATTTTAAATTCTTCAAATTATGACCCCCGGGGATAGGGCAGGGCTACAATAGGGAACTCAATTTTAAATTAAAATATATTGGAAAAAAACTTCACAGAAACTACTGGGCCAGAAAAGCTGAAACTTATGTGGTAGCATCAATGTTTAGTGTAGATTTAAAATTGTCCAAATTATGACACATTTGGTAGGGTGTGGTCAAAATATGTATTACAAGGGGAAAATTAGGTAAAGAACGACATAGCCAAAGCTACTCAGGTGAGCGAGGTGGCCAATGGGCCTCTTGTCTTATTAAAACAGGGCCACACGGCGTGTGACTTACTTATATGGAATGCTCCCCGATGACACCTGATCTTACTTCTACAATCGCATCATCTCGGGTCTTTCCCTCATCGGTCGGAAAAACAACCTCGAACGTGTTTACATCACCGGAGTTAAACATTTATACATTTCCTATTTATTCAAATATAGGATAGACGAAGTTAGAAGTCCCTTCTATAGTATATTTTAGGTAATAGCGTTACATTGAATAAACTCCATATTCCACAAATAAAAGGTTCGAGGTCGTTTTTCGCCTTGTAAGAAAGGCCCGAAAAGTTGCGATTGCTTACTTCTGGTGTTTTCTTTTAGGTCCGCGTTTCCTCTGCTCCTGACCTATTATGTTTTAAATGAGATCTTCATATTTCATAAGAATATTTTTTTTAAATTCTCAAGGACATGTGACTTTATTTCTTTAAAATAAAAAAACTTACAGTAGGATCAAATATCATCCCTGTTCCTCGAGTATTGATTTTTGCTCCGGAAAATCGAGGACAGGTTTTTCTGACAAAGTTTATTTCTCCAGCACAGTCTGTTGTTTGTCCGAAAGGAAGACTGAAATTCCCTGTACGCACTGCAAACGTATAATCTGTTCCATTCACAGACATATCCTATAAGTATAAAAATATGCAGAAAGACAAATGTTCCACGAGAAATATCACTTTATGAAAATATTTTAAAAAAAACTGTAGAGAGATTTGCATGTATTACAATATAGAGCTGGCAAAGATTATTCATCTTATAAATCATATGTAACTGAATTTTCATTAACGACAACTCCATTGTATGAAAAATGAAATTACACATTTATTTGTGACCCAGTTAAACATAATAAAATACCAGTTTAACTTAAAAAAGAAAGACAAATAAAAGCCAAACCCTTTTTTAAGTATCAATTAAGTAATTATTATTCCTGTATCAACTTATGTTCTTATTCGTTTCCACTCAAACGAACATAAGTAATCTATAAAATGAATAACAACACTTATACAGGTAGGTATAGAAGCGCTCTCATAAGTGCAGTTTAATATCATATACGGAATATACATTTCCAACTTTCCCTCTTGAAAACTCATCCAATATACAAAACAAAAGCATATAATTAATAAAAACAAAGATGATACTCGTGAGGATGTGTGGGTGCTTCCAGTAGCTAGCAAGATCCTCTGTAGAGTAATACTGAACAGGATGAAAGATGCATTGGATAAAGTTTTACGGGACGAACAGGCAGGCTTTAGATCCAACAGAAGTTGTACTTACCAAATTGCAGCACTAAGAATTATCGTGGAGCGATCTGTTGAATGGCAATCATCTCTGTACATAAATTTCATCGATTTTGAAAAGGCATTTGACAATGCCAACAGAGATGGAATGTTGCAAGTGCTAAGATACTATGGAATACCATCTAAAATAGGGACTATTATTAAGACCGTATATGAAGAATTCTCAGTGCAAGTGATACATGAAACATCCCTCATTCCTTAGAAGTCAAAACTGGAGTGAAGCAAGGCTGCTTACTCTCTGCCACTCTGTTCCTTATAGTGATAGACTGGATCACAAAACAGGCATTCGACAGGCCTAGGGGAATCAATGGACAATGGTCAGAAGATTGAAAGACCTGGATTTTGTCGATGACCTTGCCTTACTGTCCCACCAAATAAAAGACATCAGAAAAAAGACCAACAAGCTAAATGAAACTGGAAAGAAGATAGGACTGAACATTAACAGCAAGAAAACGAAAGTTATACCAAAGTCAAGACTAGAAAAATTTGACCAATCACAATTGAAGGGGAAGAACTGAAGGAAGTGGAACAATTTACTTACTTATGGTCCATCAGTAGTAATACAGGTTGTTCAGACGAAGACATTAAAGCCAGAATAAGCAAAGCCCGACATGCCTTCGCAATGCTCAAACCTGTCTGGAGTTCCAGTACATTAAGTGAAAGCGCAAAGATTAGAATATTTAATACCAATGTTAAATTAGTGCTTTTCTACGGATGTGAAACCTGGAGACTAACAGTCAGGACTATAACAAAATATCCAGGTATTTACAAACAAATGCCTACAACACATCTGTAAAGTGACATGGTCAATTAAGATACCAAATAAACACCTACTGGAGCGTACCAGCCAAGAATCAACATCCCTCCAGATTAAGAAACGAGCATGGCAGTGGATTGGTCATACATGGAGAAAGCCCCAAAACAGCATTATTAGAGAGAGACATTAGACTGGGATCCACAAGCTCAGAGAAAACAAGAGTGACCATTACACAGTTGGAGGAGAACAAGATTGAAAGGGCTTGAAAATATTGGAAAGACCTAGAATGAGACAAAAGGAACAGCCCAAACAGAGTAAGGTGGAGAGCGACTGTAGTGGCCATATGCTCCATAAGGAACGATGAGGATTAAGTAAGTAAGTACGTTCTATCTGTCAAACCGAATATTTTACAATAGGCCTACGTATTTTGTCTCTTAAAAAGTCTAATACATTGTTTTAGTGGGTTCATCATTCAACGATATATTAGACAGATCCTTTCTCATTTTAAGTGTTATCCGAATTGTACAAAAACAGAGCAGACCTCGAATACCTGCGCAACAATTTAACCAACGAACATAAAGTATAATTCGATAATGAGGGTCAAATATGCACATCAAAATTGTCAAAAATTCAGTAGCTTCCGGGGGTTTATCCCCTCAAACCCCATTGAGATCCTTAGTTCACGCCAAACCCCTGTCTAAACTCAGACACCCACGGAAAAGTACCCTGGCTACGCCCCTGGGGCCCGCCAAAGTTAAGTCGGGCGTAATTTGCATTTACGTAGTGGCGTACATGTATGTCTAGTCGTAAAAGATATGCTTAGTCGCAGGACTAAGTCCTTGACAACGTTGCATTGCGCTTGCGCAAAACATAAACATCGTCCAACGAGTATTGTAAACATGATTAAATAGTAGACTGTAGCACGTTAAAGTACAGAATAACACAATTTATAGATAAATGAGTACTTGCACTGATTGAAACATGCATGGATTTATAGGGTCATATGCATGTACTACAAATGTATCTTATAAGAAATTTATTTTAGTTTTTACAATATTTCAATAATAAAAATGTTATAAATTAAAAGGAAGAAATGGACCGTACATGTATTTCAGAATTAAGCTAAATTATTTATTTTGGAATTTTAATTACAGCCCGCCCCCTCCTCTCTTTTCCCGAAATTGATACAGGTTAATGACTTCGCTTTTGATAACAAATTTTATGATTCGATAAATACTGATTCTACTGATAAATACTAATAAATAAGTTTGAGACAGAATAAGATTTTAAAACTTTATTTTCATAATAAATGTATATGCAAGCAAAAATATGTATAAAAAATGCAAACGGTTTACATATGTACACATTTTGAGTCAAAAAATACATTTTACACGTTTACTACTAAGGTACATGTACATGTAAGACAATCCTCTATAAGTCTATTAAGTTTTTGTCAATTCAAATGAGCCATTATAATATTGTTATTTTTCATTAAAATGGCACAAACGTTCATAATATAATTTCGAAATACTAGACTCTAGGTACATGCTGTTATAAGAAAAAAAACATTCTTTACTATGAATACTCTGTATACAGGGTTATTTTCGCCCCGTCTTATTTTCGCCCTTTCACACTTGCAAATAATTTTGCCCCGTTTTAAATTCGCCCAACTGTATGAGCTTAATAAAAGATACCCCCGCCTCCCATATGCATATAATGGAAGTGTCAATGTTTTGCTATGAAAAACCCAAATATGTGTCGGATCAAAAAGTACAATAAGGCTAGTGCTAGTTCCTACTTTACGCAGACGAAGAGCTAAGACTGGGCGTACGACCTTTGATGAAACGGGCCCCTGTTGCCTCTAATGGCGCATTGAAACGTTAGATTGGTACAACTCATTTCGGTTTCATTTTTTCAATTTTTTAATTAAAAATCAAATTTCAATATGTTTATAACTTTTAATATTTATGTCTAATCATTCTGAGATATTTAAGTTATGCAATTGCTATATCCAGAGAAATTTTGTCCCCTATTCAGTTTTGCCCTTAGCACAGTTGGGCGATTTCATACAAGACGATAAAATATCAAATAGAACTCTGCCTGGGCAGAATTAAAACGGAACAAAATTGATTGTACTTGCAAAGGGGTACATGGGAAATAAATTAGTACGTTTGCAGTGTTACCTTTATGTTAATGGCCACTTTCAAAAAAACTGCTTTCTTTAGTGGGGGCCTAAATATAGATGTGCAGCGTTTGTATTTGCTAATCCAGTTTGAGCTGTCGTGTTGAACAAAGAAGTTTTCATACTTCAGAGTGACATACTCCTTAGGATCTCTCTGCATGTCATGACAATAAATCTTCACCCTCTTCCCATTCGTTGCTGCAGGATACAACCAGTATTCACCATCCTTTGTTATCCCACCGCATCCAGCGATGTCAGAACACGACTGGGGCACTTCATAAACAGAAAATTAATATTTTACAAAGGAGAACTTTTTTTCGAGAAACAAAATTGATAAATCAACGATGTTGCTGATTATGATTTTGGTGATGACGATGACGATGATGATAATGATTTTGGTGATGATGTGATATTGATGATGATGATAATGTGTATGATGATGATGATGATGTTGAGGGTGTTGATGATCATGGTGATGATAATGGAAATTATGCTGGGGGTTACAATGATGATAATGGTGTTAATAATGATGATGGTGTTGATGAAGATGTCAGGATCTAGCCAGTATCAGCGTCGGCATTTTAAAAAACAACATAACCAGGATCAGCAAGGAAAGGATAGAACACCCTATCGTATGCCATTCAAAAGTTATCGCCGAAGTTGATTTTTTTTATTAAGTCAATCGTCAAATTCAAGAGGTCAGAAATTATAGCATGCTCGGAAATATCTTTAAAAATGAAAATATCATATCAATCAAAAGTTAGAAGAAAAATTAACATTTTTTAAAACAAGGTCAAACTTTACCGTCACAAGATCAAAAACATATTGTATTTAGAAAGATCTTGTGACAGGTAATATACATGTATAATTTAAAAGCCCTAATTCTTCTCACTCAAAAGATATGACCATGGTTAAAAGTTTTGAAAAATAGGTCAAACCTCAAGGTCGAAAATTCAAATTTCATAATATATGATTCAAAGGTCCTTGACACGGGTAATAATCTTTAATATTAAAGCTCTCTTTTTATTCGAGAGTTCGGCCAATTGAAAGTTATGTTAGTGTATTTAGTCACAGGTAATGTACATATTTATGTAATATAAAAGCCCCATCTCTTCTCATTCAGAAGATATAACCAAGGTTAAAGTTTTCGTGATGGACGGAAAGACTGACAGACGAATGAGATTTAATGTCCCCTCGCTTTCGCGAAAACGGGGAACAAAGAACTTTAATATAAGATCATATTAAATATGAAGAACATACTTTGAATCATTCTCTCAGTCACTATGCCCTGCGATGTGAAATCTCCCGAAACGGACTCCTTGAGCATTTCCGGTGACGGATAAACAGGGTCTTTATCATATTTGTGAAGATACGCAACAGATGATATGAAAATTCCTAGTCCCAAAACCAGCAGAAATCCGAGTATTGACACAAAAACGCAAAGATTGGTACTCAACTTGTAGGATTCTCTCCTTAGATCCTGAAAACAACCCATTTTCTTTTTAAAAATTTGAAACACAATCTTAAACGACTTCTTCTTTCGAAGAGGCACTTATAAACAAATAAGAGTGTATATGTAAGTGCAAGTAAACACCTAATTAATATACTTCTCTGGAGTAAGATCTTGGGCAAATTAAACTGCAGCATTTGACGTCAGAATTTCATTTAGTGGTTATTTTTTCCATATCAGAATGTATTATGTAACTGCAGAATTTGAAATTAGGGACAGATGCTTAACTCTTTCTTATTAAATTAACACTTATTGAACTGAATTTTAGGCTTTGATTAGAAAAAAATTATCGTCGAATTCGAATAAACTTCTTTTTTAACGACATACATTTAGTGCTAAGCAAGGCAACATGAGTTAACCATAGGTATTTAAGAAAAAGAAGATTAAAAATCGAGGTCATTCGTGAAATTGTACTCATCCTGATGTTTTAAATACAAATTGTATGACGTTTATTTGTTTACTTTGAGGAGTTAAATGCAAAATTTACAACATTATAACTTTAGAACTTATATAACATCAAGAAAAATTAAACACGAATTCAAAAAAAACTTGTCATGCTATTAATAGGAGAATATCCAGACATGATTGAGAAATAAATGTCGATATCTATTATATACTCATTAATTAGGATAATATCTTTGATGAAAAAAACACCTGCATATTGATTAACCTGTGTTCTTCATTTTTTGCCAATATTGATTCACAATTTATTATTACAAGCTAATTCAAAGAATTTGTGTTTCCTTCTTAGGGAAAAGAAGAGCGCATGCCAAGGAGCCTTTTGATGAAATTGTAAATTGTAAGCAAACATCAGGTCACATACATGTATATTTTCACGTTCGATATTGTCAAAATTTTACACAATACATGGTGTCTAAATTAGCCTTTAAACAGATCTTATAGATGTAATAAGAATAAAAATTCCAACGACAGCCAGTATACGTGATAACTCTCTACACGTCCCTCTGCTAAAAAAGTGCCAAGCGACATTTAATTCAACAAGCTAATTCAGAGAATTGTGCCCCCCGCTTTCGGTGTCTTTGTGGATAGGTGTCATTTTTTATGACATATTGTGTCAAATCTTGTCACGGGTAATGTACATGTCTAATCTATAGCCCTGTATCTTCAAAATCAAAAGTTAAGGAAGTGAAACACTGATGACCCCGTATGGCAAAATAGCGAGCGAAGATTAAATTTTTCTTAAATGCAAATAAATATATTGGTACCCAAAGTAGGACCATCTCACAAGAAATACGATTGTGAAATATGAAAGCCCTAACAACACCTCTTCAAAAGTTAGGGTCAAGGATAATTTTTTGAAAGGTAGCTCAAACTCCAAGGTCAAAGGCTCAACGTTGTTAGTTTTTTAAAAAAGGTCTTGCCACAGGTACAGTGTATTACATATTTAAAATATGAAAACCATTGCCCAAACCTTTCAAAAGTTATGGCCATGGTTAAAGTTTTTAAAAAGAAAGTCAAACTCCAAGGTCAAGATTAAAGGGTCAAAGTTTTTATATCCAATGAAAGATCTAGCCACACGTATAACGTATCTAAAGTTTGAAAGCTTTTGCCCAAAGCGTTCAAAAGTGGCCAAGGTTAAACATTTTTAGAAGTACGTCAAACTCCAAAGCCAAAGGTTAAGAATTCTTTATACAGTATCCAATGAAAGATCTTGCCATAAGAAATACATATATGAAATATGGAGGCCCTAGAAGCCACCCTTCAAAAGTTATGGCCAAAGTAAAAGTTTGTAATTTTTGTTTAAAAGTGGGACAAACTCTAAGGTCAAGGTCAAAAGGTCAAATTCGGTGGTACCCAAAGGAAGGTCTTGTCACAAGGAATACATATGTGAAATATGAAAGACATAGCTTTGCTAAATCAAAACCTGTTCAAAAGTTATGCCCAAGAATAAGTTCTTGAAAGGTATTTCAAACTCCAAGGTCAGTGGGTCAAAGTTATTGGTTTATTTAAAAAGTCTTGTCACATGTATTACATATGTAAAGTATGAAAGCTCTAGCCCAAACTGTTCAAAATTTATATTCAAAGTTATTGTTTTAAAAAATAGATCATACTCCAAGGTCAAGGTCAAATGAAAGTTCTTGATATCCAATGAAAGGTCTTGTCACAAATATTACATAAGTGAAATCCCTAACCCTATCCGTTATAAAGTTATGGCCAAGGCTAAAGTTATTAAAACGTAGGTCAAACTACAAGGTCAAGGTCAAAAAGTCAAAGTTGTTGGTATTCATTGAAAGGTCTTGTCACAAAGAATAAATATATGAAATATGTAAGTCCTAGTACCTACCATTTAAAAGTTATGGCCAAAGTAAAAGTTTGGAATTTTTGTGTAAAAATCGATCAAACTCTAAGGTCAAGGTCAAAATTGGTGGCACCCAAAGAAAGGACTTGTTACAAGGAATATACATGTGAAATATGAAAGTCATTACTCCACTAAATCAAACGTTATGGGCAAGTTTAAAGTTTTTGTGACGAACGGACATAATGACGGACAGACTAATGGGATTAGATATCCCCTCGCTTTGGCAAAAGCGGGGAACAATAAAACCTGCAATACAAGGAGTAAGTCGTCTACTGAAACTGCGAATAGGACAAAGTGATCGTGAATCAAGGTCATGTCATAAGCTAAGGATGCAAGTAATCTTCGAAGGTGTAGCAGTTTGCAATTTTTCAGCAGTAAAAAGAGAACAACAAAGGAATGTACAGCTCTTCTGATAGTGACCTTGGACTTGTACTAATGACCCTCCGTCAAAATATGACTCACTCTGCAGTTGGTTATAAGCAAACCCCATCTGTATGTTACCAGCTCGAGTTGTATTCTTTCAAACTGTTCATCTGAAATATCTTATCCTTTGTGATCATTGGGCAAGGCCATGAAATAGAACGATGATCCATTAATACTAAAATTTATGTTATAATATTAGAAAATGATCCTTTTTTTCCTCTTTAGTGTGTGAATTATATTTCAAAGGAAAAAAATCCAATCTCTTTAATGCCACCTGCATGAGCAGTGGTTAGAACGTCTGCTCTAAGAGTCGCAAATTTAGGAGTTGATTGCGGGTTCGAATGAATACTAATGCTGAGACCGTTTAATCCGAGGTTCCGAGTAGCAGTAAGAGTAAGAACGAAAAAGATCTCTCCCTGCTCAATGGCCATGAAATGATGAGTGCCGAGTACAGGATCAAATTTGCAGCTCATCACGGGCACGTGTAGGCGTCTCCATATGAGTAGAAGCCACTTGAAAGAGACATTAAACAACAGACAAAACAATCTTTTTATAAGATTTTTAGAAATTGTGGAGTTTTACATAAAGTATACGTCAGTGTTACGAGAAAATTTTGTTATAATTGAGATTCAATTTTCACCTACAAGTTCGACGCACTGTAAGGCATGTAGCCTTGTTCACACATCTCCTTTGTTCTTTTATTGATATAAAGATAATTAAACATTAAAATATTTTTAATTTTTACCCCCTATTTGAATACTCATCTTGAAGAAAATGGGGATAGGGTATTGTTTTGAGTATGACTTCAGTTTGTCTGATATTGCGGAAATATTTTCCTGTAGTTGTCCAGTGGGAATGGGGCATGCAGTGTCCATATAAAATTTACATATTCAAACTTCAACTTACAGAAGACTGTTCTCCGGAAAAAAAAATTGAGACAACCCCCTTCATACCTTTTTGAGATTGTAATATGCCTTTTAACGATCCCACCCCACCTCCCCGAAAACAAATCCTTATATAGACGAAAATTTAACCAATTTTCTCAACTTTTTTTCTCGCCATGTTCACAATCGGAACTATCTGGATTGTTCGTATCTAATACACTGAGTTATGGTATGTGTATATTATGCTACATTCCTAATACTTTATGTGTACTATTAGTAACACAGTCAGTTAGTGACCTAATACTGATTCATACAGGGTGTGAAATGGAAATCCGTATTGGGCGAGGCGAAGCCGAGTCCCAATACGGATTTCCATTTCACACCCTGTATGAATCCGTATCAGGTCACTAACTGACTGTGTAACGAATTTATCCCGCTGAAGACCTTTTTTCAATATTAAAAAAATATTTGGGCATATTATGAATCCGTATTAGGTCACTAACTGACTGTGATACGAATTTATCCAGCTGAAGACCCTTTTTGAATATAAGAAAAATATTTGCGCATATTATCAAAATATTAAGTTTAATCCAATAACAATCAAGATATAAAATCGTTACGGTAACAAGAAATCTAACTAAACTACATACGTAAACCGTTTCTTAGCCGCCATTTTTATTTACAATAACAACGCTTCGAACGAAATCGCGTGCCCGATTTTCATATTACTCCTTGACGGAGACGTAATACGGAAAATTTCAGGGCGTCATCTGATCAGCCTTTATCCAATCAGCAATCTACAAATTTGTCTGAAGCGGGATAATTTAAAATACACATGTTTTAGCAGCTTTGGCATAAACAGCAATGCGCTAATTCGTGAATACCTCTAAGAAATCATTCACATACAATACACTGTACGGACAGTGATTACGCCATATTATGAATGCGCCAAATTATGTACACATACAGTACAAATACAAATAGATTTAGATCTGTTATATGCAAGACCAACACAGATTTGTA